TCATCATCACCATCATTATCATCATCATCAATCTTCATCCTCATCATCAATATAATTATTATTTTCATCATCATTACTATCATCATCACCATTATCATTATCTTCCTACTTATCAACATCATCCGTTTTATATCGATTCCACTGATGACATCGCGGTGGCGGTCGAGGGGAAAAAAGGGGAAGGAAGGGGTTTCCAAGCGGAGATTTTTGCCGATTTTCCGCTCATGGCTTTGGCGAATGCTGGTTGTGTTTTTTTTTTGTTTCTTTGTCTGGTTTCCTTGTTTTGATTATTTGGTTTTTGTTTTACTTTTGGTTGGTGTGTTGTTGGTTGTTGTTTGTGTGATTTTTTTTTCTCTGTCCTCTCTCTCTCTCTCTCTCTCTCTCTCTCTCTCTCTCTCTCTCTCTCTCTCTCTCTCTCTCTCTCTCTCTCTTCCTCTTCCTCTTTCGTTTTCTGTGCTCTCGCTTCCTCTCTTTCTTCGTTTCTCCCTCTTCTTTAATTCACTTCTTGTCTTGTCTTGTACCTCTCTTCACTCGTTTCTTCCCTCACTCTCTCCCGCTCTCTTCCTACCTCCTTCCCACCCCTCTCTGTTACTCCTTTCCTCCCACTTTCCCATCCCTCTCCTTCCCTCCCTTCCTCTATCCCTCACTTTCTTCCCTTCCCTCTCTTCCTTCTTTCTTCCCTCCCTCCCTCCTTCTCTTCCCTTCCTCATTCCCTCTCTCCCTCCCTTCCTCACTCATTCCCTCACTCCCTCCCTCTCTACCTCCTTCCCTTCCTCTCTTCCTTCCTTCTTTCGTCCCTCCCTCTCTCTCTCCCTCTCTCCCTCCCTCCCTCCCTTCACCGCCACCGGGCTTTCTCTCACGAAGGAAAGTTTTGTCATTTCTTTTCCATGTATTTTTTTTCTTTGTGGTCCGGTTCTTCTGAAGTTTTGGGTACGAATAAGGGAAGAGAGGAGAGAGAGAATAAAGAAAGAGAATAGAGAAAATGGAGAAAGAGAATAGAATGGAATAGAAGAAAGAGAGAGTAGAGAGAAGGAGAGAGATAATAGAGAAAGATAATAAAACGGGAGAGTAAAGAGTGACAGAGAAAAATGGTATCGGTAAAGGAACAGGAAAGAAAAGTAATAGATAGAATATAGATAGATATAAGAATGTAACTAGATAGGAAATAGATAAATAGGAGAGAGCGAGAGAGAGAGAGAGAGCGAGAACGAGAACGAGAGAGAGAGAGAGAGAGAACGAGAACGAGAGAGAGAGAGAGAGAGAGAGAGAGAGAGAGAGAGAGAGAGAGAGAGAGAGCGAGAGAGAGAACGAGAACGAGAGAGAGAGAGAGAGAGAGAGAGAGAGAGAGAGAGAGAGAGAGAGAGAGAGAGAGAGAGAGAGAGAGAGAGCGAGCGAGAGAGAGAGAGAGAACGAGAGAACGAGAGAACGAGAGAGAGAGAGCGAGAGAACGAGAGAGCAAGAGCGAAAGCGAGAGAGAGAAAAAGAGAGAGAGAGACTCCCCCCACGTATCGGGTGAAGCAAGTAAAAGAAGCGGACGACAGATAAGAGAGATAAGAGGAATCTCAGCCCAGCATCCCAAGAGGGTCAGAGGCGCGACGTGTCAGGAGAGGGAGATGGACAAGGAAGACGAGATGAGAGAAAAAAAAAAGACGACGAAGAGAGGAGAAAGGAAGAGAAGAGGGGGAAAAAATGCGATAAGAATTCGCGTCACGGTAATGGAACGCGGAGATAACGAAGAGAGACGAATAGGGAAAGTAAACAGAGAGAGATAAATAAATGGGTAGATAGTAAACATCAAACAAGGAAATGAATTAGTAAACGAGGATTGATTATATAAATGGTGATAAATGGTAAGGAAGAGAGAGAGAGAGAGAGAGAGAGAGAGAGAGAGAGAGAGAGAGAGAGAGAGAGAGAGAGAGAGAGAGAGAGAGAGAGAGAGAGAGAGAGAGAGAGAGAGCTAAAAGGATAAATAGGGGCGAACGGAAGAGAAAAGGTTAGGTGGAAAGTTAGAAGGAAAATAAGATAATAAAGGAGAGATTAGATTGGAGTGGGAATGAAAGACGTGAGAGGAACATTAAAGAGAGAGAGAGGAGAGAGAGAGAGAGAGAGAGAGAGAGAGAGAGAGAGAGAGAGACAGACAGACAGACAGACAGACAGACAGACAGACAGAAAGAGAGACACAGACCGAAAGAGAGCGAGAGAGAAACAGAGAGACGGAGAGACAGGGACAGGACAGAGACAGAAAGAGAGCGAAAGAGAAAGAAAGAAAAAGCAAAAGAGAAAAAAAGAAATAGAAATAGAAGAAGAGAGAGACAGAGACAGAAAGAGAGAGAGAGAGACAAAGAGAAAGGGAAAGCGAAAGAGAAAAATAAAAAAGCAACAGCGAAAGAGAAAAAGAAATATAAATAGAAATAGAAGAAGAGAAAAACAGAGAGAGAGAAAGAGGGGGGGGGGGAGAGGACACGAAGCATCCATTAAGGTGGTCATAGTCTTGGACATATGTAGCCCTGGGAGGTGCCGGGACTACTTCCCCCCTCCCCCTCCCCCCTCCTCCTCCCTCCTCCCTCCTCCTCCCTCCTCCCACTCTCCTTTGTCTTGTAGGCTCCTGCGTATGCGAAGAGGGGGGGGGGTGAGGAAGGCAGGGATGGGGGGGTGGGGGGTTGTGTGAGTATTTACATACCTACACGTGTATGTGAGGTTGTGTACACGCCTACTTATGTGCATGACGTTTAATTGTTAAT